AAAAGCATGCAATCACTCGTGTAGACACCAGTTGTGAGTCCAAGATATCAGCGGCGTGTCAGCTTATTGCGTGCGCTAGTTATTTGGGCGGCAAGAGAGGCGGTGTGGTAGTCTTGTGGTTAAAGCGTTCGCTCGTCACGCCGAAGGCCCGGGTTTGATTCCCCACATGGGTTCAATGTGTGAAGCTCATTTCTGGTGTCCCCCTCCGTGATATAGGTGGAATATTGCAATATTCGGCGTAAAACATAACTCACTCACTCACTTGGACAGTAACACGGAAAGCAGTCGAATCCCCAGTTTCTCGCTCTCCGAGTATCTAGTTTAATTTACCTCCAGTATAGTAGTACAGCCTAGATCCATGCATGAGCATGGTTGGAGTTACTTGTTTCGTTGTCATTTTTACTCAAAGATTACATTATATCGTGTACTCGACGAAGAGCGGGCGGGTAGCCTAGTGGTTAAAGCGTTCGCTCGTCACGCCTAAGACCCGGGTTCGATTCCCGACATGGGTACAATGGTTGAAGCCCATTTCGGGTGTCCCCCGCCGTGATATTCCTGGAGTATTGCTCAAAGCGGCGTAAAACCATACTCACTCACTCACCGTCCACGACGATAAGTTACACACAGGGATACATCTTAAACTGTGATACATATTTTACTGCACACCTACATGCCGTTTGTATCAAATATTATTCAAGGATATATCAGGCATACGTCTTACAGTGTAACACATATTTGACTTCTCTCCTAAATGTTGTTTGTGATAAATGTTATTTAAAATATACGACAGGACAAATTGTTAAGACATAACAGTAATACGTCTTAAAGTGTGATTAATATTTTACTGCACTCCTTCATACCGTTTGTAATAAATTATTTAGGATATACAACAATGTGCGAAATACACACCACATATAATTATATAGTCACATACACCACACACAGGCCACACGTGCATGCACGTCGCTACGTACCTGCATAGAACTGTAACGACGTTAACTTCACCTCACGTCGTCTCGTGTGGCGTACATCTGACGCGCACATAAAACCTCTATATTCCTGCCACGGACGGCCATGTTTTGGTTTGTTGGCGCAGCAGTTCTTTATCAATAACAGATAACATACAATAGGGCATAACATACAGCCCGTTTAAAGCAAAATGGCACTGCGGATTCCTCATTAGAGTTAGAATGCTGAATTGCAACTCAATTAGTCGTTTCTCGGAAATCAACATGGCATATGCCACACTGTACGGATGTCGGGTTGTAGAAATTCTGACAAAGATTTTCTGAACTAATATATTTATCAACAAACTTAAATAAATTACAGCATTCTCGTTATTTTGAAGTTGTACTTATGTGCAGAGTCAAGCTATAAATACTTACTTTTTTATGCAAATTGTGTGAATTGTGTACTAACAATAGGGTAGGACACAGGGTGTCATCACTGCTGTCAGTGGTGCATTTAAATAATTTTCAGAGCTATTTGGTCCTTTACGTCATACGAAAACCTTTCCGGAGGATATTCAAGAATGGTTATTATCTTGCATTAGAGAGTTGAAAGGTACCCGACATTCACACAATTTGCATAAGCAATCCTTCTATGCAACGGCGGCCTGTAAACAAACCAGACAATCGAGTGATCGATGAATCATTGGTTGGTTTGTTGTTTAACGCCGCACTCAGCAATATTCCAGCTATATGACGGCAGTCTGTAAATAATCGAGTCTGGACCAGACAATCCATGGATCAATATCATGAGCATCGATCCACGCAGTTGGGATCGATGACATGCATGAACCAAGTCAGCGAGCCTGACCACCCGATCCCGTTAGTCACCTTTTACGGCAAGCGTGGGTTGCAATTATTTTAAACCTCTTAAACCCCCAGAGAAGATTATCCTCTGAGGTAAATTTTTGTCCGTATATATATGTCAGAAATTAGTGATAACTTATGAAAAACGTAATTATCTGTTTCGAAAATTATGTACCGGATTATACGTGAGGTACCAAATTTGGTATCAAGGTTGCTTGGCGCAATCCACCAACGATTGCCGAGTTTAATGATCTTAGAATACTCTTCGTATAAGGTCAAAGAGAATATTTACGTTAGTGACAAAACCCTTTTCATTATAGATTTTCCATCCTTTCAATTTTGATCAAAACAGATATATTTCAGCAATGATTGATTGCACCAAATTTATTATACATTCTGATGCTCTTTGAAACACAACAAGACATGCCCGACGATACCGGATATTATTTGTGTATGCTTTGAATTATGATTTCGTGCCGTTATCATGATGGATTCTGTTTTTGTTGTTGGGGCAAGGAGTTATTATCCCAGCAAAAGTTGTCTGTAAGTTGTTGTTAGTTCTTCATGACATATGAAAGGAATCCAGACAGTTACATTTAATAATTTATTTCATTAAATATACTTTTTCCTATGAAAGGAAATATTTTATGTTATATTAATTATCATACATTGCTACAAATATTGCATAAGTTAACATGGTTTGCATTTATTTATTGTTATTTCTTTATCTGTGAGAAGTTCACAGAGATCGAGAATACACAATATCTAATAGTACATGCAATGTAGGTAAAGAATATCCACGCCCCTCTTTTGATATTAATAAAAACATTGTATATAATGTTATGTATTAAGTATTCTCCTTTCCCATGCATGGGAAATGTATGCTGCATTTGTTGACGACTGTTTTTTTTCCTTTGACATTGCATAGGAGATATGTCACTCATTTGTTGTATTTGAATTCTTCGTCAAAATATAATTTATAAATGCGATTGAATTGTCTCGTTTGTTTCAAGGAAACGGTCATGTGCTCCTTATCAAATTAAGTAAACCTCCAATGCAAATCGACATAATTTCAGGGTCTGGTTGCACAGAACACTCTTCGGTAACGCCTAACTCAATGTTTTTGCAATGGACTCCTAGCTAAGCTACTAGTGGATGATAAATTAATTAACCTTTTTGTCGAATAGACGTACCTAATGTATAATCCATCATTTTTAACCCGAGGATGGATCTTTCAGTCATAAATTTCGATGTGTACAGTCGCTAGAGTATCATTTTAACAATACAGACATGACACAAGCTGCACGTAAAATAATTGATAAAGGTAGTCCTTGCGGGTTCACATACCTACATGTACATCCCCCAGGACATTGTCATATTTTGCTTTACATCCTCCGAGCAACGTTAACAAATTTAAACTTGAATAATAATAAATTGATATTATGTATATGAACATGTATAAATCAGCTTGCACACCGACTACTGCAGAATGAAATGTCATCCATTTGCTAGTTTACTTTAGTTTAACATATTATATTCACAGAACAAAATGAGAATTGTATTGGGGACAAGTTCTTGCAACTTAGTAAACCCCTCTCCGCATAAAATATGTACAAATATACAGTTGCCAAAAAAAAATTTGCTTCAGTCAGTAAAAGTCAGACTTTTCACATTTACACATCAATATATTTTTGTAAGATTGTTACGTTATAATTATTCCATTGTGTATATTACTACCTACTTTACCAATTGAAATATGATTCCATTAGGTTAATCGTCAATAGGATATATTACAATTAAGTACAAAACACACAGAGTATTATAAATAAATAAGAAAACCAAGTTCATTCTAGTAATTAATCCTCTTCTGGACAACCATAGAAATGAAATTCCAATGCGTTTATATATACATATAATTATACAACAATGTTGGATAACGACCTCAATCATCCCCCACACCCATACTTTAATGACGATTGTACGATAAATCCTGTACCAACCCTGAAAAGGATAGGTTCTAGTCATTTAACGCCTTTGACACTAAACTTATCAGGTTGTTACAATTTACGTAAAAAGTTATTACATTTTACCGCAAGTTGAGATAATTACAATTTACGTCAATTTTTATTACAATTTACGTATTACAATTTACGTCAAATTTTATTACAATTTACGTCAAAATTATTACAATTTCATGCAAGTATTACAATTTACCTTTTTATTACAATTTACGTCGTAACAGGCGCTATTGATGAATGCACACACAAAATTGGGACGTGCGTGCATGCGTGCGGGTACATACGTTTTCAATAATGCATTCTTTTGCCGGTATATTTGCGGGAAGTGTTTGGCACCGAACACATGATTATAAGAGGCGAAGCAGTCATGGGGAGAAAAGTGTATTATCATTTCATCAATGATTTTCCATTTGTAATCATTTCATTCTTTTAACCATTTTGCGCACGATGGAATATGTTTCGGCCGAAAATTGAGACTGATAATTCTCCAGCGTTCACGTTTTATATGATAATGAAATTCATAAATATCTTTTTGTCTGTCGAGAGACCCGTGAAGATCCGGGGTAGAATAGGTCTTAAGCACCCATGCTTGCCGTAAAAGGCGACTTCGCTTGTCGCAAGAGGCCTAGGAGACTAACGGGATCGGGTGGCCAGGCTCGCTGACCTGGTTGATGCATGCCATCGTATGCTTGGATCGATGCTCATGTTATCAATCACTGAATTGTCTGGTCAAGATTCGATTATATACAGATGGCCGTCATATAGCTGGAAAATTGCTGAGTGCACCGTTAAACACCAAACAAACAAACTTGCACACATTCCCTCCCTACGCAATTATTCAGATGATCTTAGAGTTAACGCGTAACAATATTGAAAGTTTGGAATGAAAAAAATATTCTACCTCAAGTTTTGAGAGAACGTTTTTTGGACAAGTGTCATTTTCCTCATTCGTCCTTGAATCGACACAGATCAGTGGTATGTTAACAATAGTTTTGCATGGTATTACCTTCTTAAAGACCGTTACGTGACATCGCTTCTTTAAATGTATGCTACATTGAAAATGCAGCTTTGCTTTACGAACATGAACGACATAAGTAATTATCATGTATTTGTGTAAACCAACAATTCATTAGAAGATGTTATTAACAACAGACATGAACACGATAAATATTGCAAGATTGCTTTAATATTGAACAACTTATAAGTAATAGTTTGTGCATAAGTAAATAAGATAGCAATTCATGTCGGGTTGAAAAACTTACGCGCACTATGTACAACACAGAGTGGACATGTAAAATATACTGTTTGTGTAGTTTCACTGGGTATATAATCATATTGATGTAAAATATGCTACTATGAAGTAGTTAAAAGTGTGAGGGCAACATCCTCTAGCTGCTTTACTTGGTCAGCAGAGGGGTAGGGATGCATGTATACACCTTCAGCTGAAACAGAATGAAACAATGAATGAAAAAATCGTAATTAAATTTCGAAATAAATTCATTTATTTGTAGAGCATGTGTTCCTTGAGAGTTACATTATACAACTACGCGAAGGGGTAGCCTAGTGGTTAAAGTGTTCGCTCGTAACGCCGACGACCCGGGTTCGATTTCCCGCTTGGGAACAATGTGTGCAGCCCCGGCTGCTGCAATGTTGCTAGTCAGTGAGTGAGTTTAACGCTGCTTTTAACAGTATTCAAGTTATGTCAAGGCGTGTCAGCTTAACGTTGGAGGAAAGCCCGAAGTGATGAAGGTCTCAGACGTTTACCACTTCGGTGAAACCTACGAACATGGGTCTGGTGCTGACAAACCTAGAAACATAATCGGTGCGAACCGGGATTCGAACCCACAATCATAGGTTTCTTGCGTGCCAAGGGACGCCACTCTGCACAACGAATCGCGGCGCCTTAGACGACTAGGCTACCCCTGCCCCTGCAATGTTGCTAACAGCGGCGTTAAACAATACTCACTCACTCACCTACATGGTACTATTACGCACGTATATTGAAACCAGCTGTTTTTGTAACTGTTAAGGTCGAACTGTTTATGGATAGTTTAGCATCAGCATGTTATCCGCCTATTCCATAAAGTATGAATGAGTATTACATAAACATGTCTGTTAATAAACCTCTGTTGATCAAACCGGGCCTGCTCCCATTGAAATGTCCCCGATTAAACACATTTCCAGATGAACGAATCATGGATACGAAGAATGCCTTTTTGTAATAGATAGACGTTCAAACAGTAGTCAACTGGAAGGTAAAATCGGCGGACTAGCGGGTCCGGTTTAACGGGGTTTCTCTCTAAACAAGATGGTCGACGTGAACAACAACTCAATTATGCGTGTGTTAACGTTAAATGTTCCAAGGGGCAATTGTAGAAAACGCATAAAATGGCTGAAATTTTCACTGTATTTTCAAGGAAATTATTTTTTTAATTTTTAGTTTCTAATCCCCGCACTATTAGTCTGTTGTGATGTATTTAACCCTGTATAACTTTTACAAAGTCCAAACAAACAAATTCTTAAATATTTTGGCGTTTTGCAAATTGTCTTCGTGAAATTTCAGTCATCTTACACATAGACTGTAACATATATAACACTGTGGTTAACTTACTTCATCAAGTTGACCATGGAAGAAGTCATAACCATTCCCATGACCCACTTGGATTGCACACTGGCTCCGTCTGATGTTGCCTGGAGATACAGAAAAGGTCCGTCGTCATGCGAATATCAACATTATGGTTGGTAACAGCTATTTACACAACCATTATAATATTTATACCCGGACATATTGAAATTCAAAACGGCAACGCCACAGAACAATGAGTCCCGATTCTCTAGTCTCAACGTTATATTGCAGTGGATATGATTCAGTTTGATTCGTATGAGTGCTATGGTTAAGACGTTAAGACGGTTTCAGGTTACCATACCGGGGGTACTGTAGATATTAAGTTAAATCTGCTCGAGATTACAAATAACCCTCTGAAAACAACAATATGGCGGAAAATTAGGTTTCTAGAAGGGTGTTCAGATTGAAACAATATTGAAAATCTTAAAATCTTAAACATAAAACGTAAACGCGAGGGAATAAACAGATTCCATTGGGCGTCAAAGGCAAACTAGCAGTCATAAGTATATGTATGGATCTCTGAAAATCTGTTATGACACCAGCGACTATGCCTGTCGTAAGAGGCGACTAACGGGACCGGTTGGTCAGGCTTGCTGACTTGGTTAATGCATGTCATCGTATCCCAAATGCTAGGATCGATCCTCGTGATATCCATCACTGGATTATCTGGCCCGGACTCGATTATTTACAGACCGAATATGTCTCTGAATATCTACCATAATCCTCCTGGAATGATATCGTCGCTACACAATACAATGTATCACATTAACATCAGGCTAATGGTACGAACAGTGATGCTTGCCTATGGAAGCAACAAACTGAGAAATCACTATCAAAAATAGAGCAATCATACCAATGTTGGCAAAACCATGAATATGTCCTGCCCGAGTGGTACCGCCATGGACCGAGGATAATGGTACGTTTCGCTCATTGCATATTCAACATGTCAATATATCTAAGAATCCCAGGGAAATAACACAAATCAGTAATATTGGAATATCCTGCGTGTTTTACCAGAGAAAGTTCTTTGGTCGGAGACACTGTTAACTTCAGCTTTCATCAAGTTATTGTTAACCGTCAACTTGACACTGTTCATGGCGATGGTGTTCTGCAATAGATAAGAAACTATTAATCACGGACTCACTAAAATTTGCGACATAAATAACCCAAACACAGTTGTTGTTTTTGTTGTTTTTACGTGTATATATATATATATATATATATATGTGTGTGTGTGTGTGTGTGTGTGTGTGTGTGTGTGTGTGTGTGTGTGTGTGTGTGTGTGTGTGTGTGTGTGTGTGATACAACAGATATAATGTCCATAGAGCCTTAAACCCATTTCAGGTGTTCAGCAGCGCACGGTTCATCTCTTTATGAGGACTGTATTAAAAATGCTGATGTCTGACCCCCATCAATCAGTTAGTTACTTTTAAACTGTGCATGGATGACATAACCACTGTGTATGATACAGATAACTTTCTTGTTGAAGGCTCTGCATTACGCTTTGTTCACTTACTGAGTAAGACACGGACAATTCATGTATGACGCCACCGTCGTTGATGACACGGAAGGAGACTGTTGACGTGCTGGTGGTGATGTAGATGCTGCCCGCCTCCTCGCAGTCGGCGTTGGTGACGATAGCCTGAGCGTTGCTCGTGGCCTGAGTTTGTCGGAACAAGAAAGAGATGACCAGAACGTTGCCGAAATGCATGTTGGAGAAACGCAGGATGCGGAGTTGTATGTTGTTGTTGAAGATGCCATAGCCGGAGAAAGCAGAAACACCAACGTTCTGAACTGCGACGTTGTAGCCGGAATAGTCCTGGACGGTGCCGTTGAACGGGAGGTACAATTCAGCCTTGCAAACTGAAATTAAGAAAGATTCCAAATTGAGATTATTATAAGAGCATGTGTGTCATGCTGATTTTACGAAACGAGTGTAAGAATTCTTGTATTTCCCGAGCTAGAGCGAGGATAATACACAATTTCTCTCACGAGTTTAATTTTCCTTGTGGTCCATTATTTCGCAATCCGTTTGAGCTTCTCTTTAGAAATATGCACTGATCACGGCCGCTAACTTTAACAAAAATCAACAATCTTAAGCTTTAACGCCGTTTCTAGTGTGACGTCATTCCGTCCTTGCGTCACAATAACATTCGAATGACATCAATAATGCCGTCCGGATGAGGGGAACAATACATTGGTGCGTGGGATGTGATATTTACACCAGTGCACAACGATTTTCATTAACTCGGTTATTCATAACCTGGAGGGTAACACATAATTGAATTAATCCAGGAGGGAGTTTTATTTGTTGTTTAACGCCGCACTCAGCAATATTCTGGCTATATGACGGTGGTTTGTAAATAATCGCGCCTGGACCAGACAATCCAATGATTGACATCATGAGCATCGATTAACGCAATTGGGATACGATGACATGCATCAACCAAGTCAGCGAGCCTAATCACCCGAACCCGCTAGTCGCCTCTTACGACAAGCATAGTCGCCTTTTACGACAAGCATGGGTTGCGGAAGACCTATTCTACCCCGGATCTTCACGGGTCCATACGGAGTTTTAACAAAAGTGCTCGGACGTACCTGCTGCCAATAGCGACCCGCCACTGACGCAGGTGCAGGTGGTGCTCGAGTATGTAGTTCCTGGAGGACAGGGCATTTCAGTCCAAATACCATGGTCAAGTTTCTCATACTTCGCCTGATCCCCAGACGAACCCCTGATCGAGCCATCGCAGGCTGAAGGTACGTTATTTTGCACTGTGGAGGATGTGGTAGCTGCACATAATAAATAAGCAATAAAAAACCCCGATAAAATCATTTTCACAAAATGACAAAATTCTACAAAATGCAAAGTTCTTTGTTCGTTTTAAACATAAAAAAGTCAACCCCATAAAATAACCAGTCTCGAAACTGTTATAATCAATAACAGCAAAATAGCTGTGAATATAAAATGAATGGACCACTGAAAATCAGTGATAACATAGGGTGTTCGTGTAAAGGGTAAGCATTCCTGCTTTACCGTTAGCACCCGCCATTCACACAATTTGCATGAAAAGGTAAGTGTTTGTTTGTTGCCTAACGCCGGACAGCAGTACTCCTGCAATTACATTCATATAAAGTATTGAGTTTTATGTTCTGTAGCCTGATATTAGACCTGGAACATTTCCATGGATTCTTGTTTTCAACCTGCATTGGTTTCTGTTCGCATATAAATATTTTGGAGATACTTCTTATGCATTACGGAATAGACACTTCGTGAATGTAGTTAGATGCCAGCACTACTTACGGGAAGGCAACACTCAACACAGCAGTTTGCTAAATAATGGAGGATAAAATTTAACTACGCACCTACACTTCCTGCGGTACATTGGACGTTAGCCGGCCAATCACAAACCAGGACTCCTTGGTTCCAGTAAAGACCAGGGGGGCAGGTCTTGTGGTGGGATGAAACGGTTGTCCCAGGTCGCACGCACTGGTAGAAACGGGCACAGTCCGTCTCGTCAGGCATGTATCCCACACCATTGTCATACCGACACCCATCGCATGGATCACCAACTGGAAAATATAGAAAATACAACATATAGAACGTTTACATGTTTGAATGAAATCAGATACTGATCTGATGCAAGGTGTCTGTTTCCGGTCATGTGGAGACTTCTCGGATCTTTAGAAAGAGGGGTTGAAATCGAAGTAAGAAAACTGTTTTTCAAAAACCGATTTAGTAATGTATAACAAAACAAATACCCAATCTGATACTTTTTCAATAATTCAACTTCTTTGACAGACATATATGCAGGCGTATTTCTATTTTCAATTCTGATATTTGTATCCATCTAAGATGCAAAGTGAACTTAAACGTATACACATCTAAATCAGTGTTTTGTATATTTATTGGTTCACACCTGGACATGTACTGTTACAAGTCTCTGTATCATCTTCTCTGTCTGATCCCACACAGTCCGCTCCGCCGTTGCTGGGAGCAGGGTTGGTGCAGGTCCTGGTCCTGGTGATGGCTCTAGAGCCTTCTCCACAGGGTACAGAACATGCACCGGTTGTAACCGCCCACTCAGTCCAGTTTCCGTCAACTATAGGCGAAGCATTTAATAAATTGACTTATATTTAGTATGAGCGCATTGGGGTATTTCAATAGATATATGGCAACCCTATTCCGTTACTTCTGAATATATTTATTGATCAACTTTGTAAAGAGAACATCTGTACAGCATTTGAATTTGATTAGGTCCATGCTTTTTATATTTGTTTCATACCAGGATATCCAACAGTGTTGCAATTCTCTGAATAATCTCCGGTTGCGGATCCCACACAGTCCGCTCCGCCGTTGCTGGGAGCAGGGTTGGTGCAGGTCCTGGTCCTGGATATGGTTCTAGATCCTCTTCCATATGACGCTGAACAATCTCCGGTTGTAACCGTCCACTCAGTCCAGTTTCCGTCAACTGTAACCAACAATAGAATAGACTTTCACTTTCTATTTAGGAGTTTTTTTACCTTCGTAGAATGAGGGCCAAATTTATGAACTTGGGACATGATATTTGTTTCTGCTCTCCCGTAGGATGTGTAAAAAAATCGAATGGTATCTGTGGCCTCGTTGGCACATTGGGATCCATATGCTGGTAAAACGATAATTACCCTCCAGTAATGTACTTTATTGTACTCAGTGGTTATGACATAATTACATGAGCAATGTACACATCGCTTTGTTAGGAAGAATTACTGCAGTAAGTCGTTGACTGTGTCTATAACACAACATCAACAAAGCCGACACGATCACCGAGAGAGATTTTCAAAATGGCACTGACCGGGATACATTGTTAAATCCTCCGATCAAGTGATTATAAAAATAGGCCGAATAGACGCGGAAGTAATTTAAAAATCAGCATTAACGCTGTCAATCTACAAACAGCAGTTATTCAACGTGTTCGCGAAAAGCGTAAACCCAAAGTATTAAGACAATCCAATGATTGACATCATGAGCATCGATTAACGCAATTGGGATACGATGACATGCATCAACCAAGTCAGCGAGCCTAATCACCCGAACCCGCTAGTCGCCTCTTACGACAAGCGTACTCGGCTTTTACGAAAAGTATGGGTTGCGGAAGACCTATTCTACCCCGGATCTTCACGGGTCCATACGGAGTTTTAACAAAAGTGCTCGGACGTACCTGCTGCCAATAGCGACCCGCCACTGACGCAGGTGCAGGTGGTGCTCGAGTATGTAGTTCCTGGAGGACAGGGCATTTCAGTCCAAATACCATGGTCAAGTTTCTCATACTTCGCCGGGTCCGCAGACGAACCCCTGATCGAGCCATCGCAGGCTGAAGGTACGTTATTTTGCACTGTGGAGGATGTGGTAGCTGCACATAATAAATAAGCAATAAAAAACCCCGATAAAATCATTTTTCACAAAATGACAAAATTCTACAAAATGCAAAGTTCTTTGTTCGTTTTAAACATAAAAAAGTCAACCCCATAAAATAACCAGTCTCGAAACTGTTATAATCAATAACAGCAAAATAGCTGTGAATATAAAATGAATGGACCACTGAAAATCAGTGATAACATAGGGTGTTCGTGTAAAGGGTAAGCATTCCTGCTTTACCGTTAGCACCCGCCATTCACACAATTTGCATGAAAAGGTAAGTGTTTGTTTGTTGCCTAACGCCGGACAGCAGTACTCCTGCAATTACATTCATATAAAGTATTGAGTTTTATGTTCTGTAGCCTGATATTAGACCTGGAACATTTCCATGGATTCTTGTTTTCAACCTGCATTGGTTTCTGTTCGCATATAAATATTTTGGAGATACTTCTTATGTATTACGGAATAGACACTTCGTGAATGTAGTTAGATGCCAGCACTACTTACGGGAAGGCAACACTCAACACAGCAGTATGCTAAATAATGGGGATAAAATTTAACTACGCACCTACACTTCCTGCGGTACATTGGACGTTAGCCGGCCAATCACAAACCAGGACTCCTTGGTTCCAGTAAAGACCAGGGGGGCAGGTCTTGTGGTGGGATGAAACGGTTGTCCCAGGTCGCACGCACTGGTAAAAACGGGCACAGTCCGTCTCGTCAGGCATGTATCCCACACCATTGTCATACCGACACCCATCGCATGGATCACCAACTGGAAAATATAGATAATATAATATATAGAACTTTACATGGTTGAATGAAACCAGATACTGATCTGATGCAAGGTGTCTGTTTCCGGTCATGTGGAGACTTCTCGGATCTTTAGAAAGAGGGGTTGTGTTTTTCAAAAAACGATTTAGTAATGTATAACAAAACAAATACCCAATATGATACTTTTTCAATAATTCAACTTCTTTAACAGACATATATGCAGGCGTATTTCTATTTTCAATGCTGATATTTGTATCCAACTAAGTTGTAAAGTGAACTTAAACGTATACACATCTAAATCAGTGTTTTGTATATTTATTGGTTCACACCTGGACATGTACTGTTACAAGTCTCTGTAACATCTTCTCTGTCTGATCCCACACAGTCCGCTCCGCCGTTGCTTGGAGCAGGGTTGGTGCAGGTCCTGGTCCTGGTGATGGCTCTAGAGCCTTCTCCACAGGGTACAGAACATGCACCGGTTGTAACCGCCCACTCAGTCCAGTTTCCGTCAACTATAGGCGAAGCATTTACAAATTGACTAATATTTAGTATAAGCGCATTGGGGTATTTCAATAGATATATGGCAACCCTATTCCGTTACTTCTGAATATATTTATTTATCAACTTTGTAAAGAGAACATCTGTACAGCATTTGAATTTGATTAGGTCCATGCTTTTTATATTTGTTTCATACCAGGATATCCAACAGTGTTGCAATTCTCTGAATAATCTCCGGTTGCGGATCCCACACAGTCCGCTCCGCCGTTGCTGGGAGCAGGGTTGGTGCAGGTCCTGGTCCTGGATATGGTTCTAGATCCTCTTCCATATGATGCTGAACAATCTCCGGTTGTAACCGTCCACTCAGTCCAGTTTCCGTCAACTGTAACCAACAATAGAATAGACTTTCACTTTCTATTTAGGAGATTTTTTACCTTCGTAGAATGGGGGCCAAATTTATGAACTTGGGACATGATATTTGTTTCTGCTCTCCCGTAGGATGTGTAAAAAAATCGAATGGTATCTGTGGCCTCGTTGGCACATTGGGATCCATATGCTGGTAAAACGATAATTACCCTCCAGTAATGTACTTTATTGTACTCAGTGGTTATGACATAATTACATGAGCAATGTACACATCGCTTTGTTAGGCAGAATTACTGCAGTAAGTCGTTGACTGTGTCTATAACACAACATCAACAAAGCCGACACGATCACCGAGAGAGATTTTCAAAATGGCACTGACCGGGATACATTGTTAAATCCTCCGATCAAGTGATTATAAAAATAGGCCGAATAGACGCGGAAGTAATTTAAAAATCAGCATTAACGCTGTCAATCTACAAACAGCAGTTATTCAACGTGTTGGCGAAAAGCGTAAACCCAAAGTATTAAGACAATCCAATGATTGACATCATGAGCATCGATTAACGCAATTGGGATACGATGACATGCATCAACCAAGTCAGCGAGCCTAATCACCCGAACCCGCTAGTCGCCTCTTACGACAAGCGTACTCGGCTTTTACGAAAAGTATGGGTTGCGGAAGACCTATTCTACCCCGGATCTTCACGGGTCCATACGGAGTTTTAACAAAAGTGCTCGGACGTACCTGCTGCCAATAGCGACCCGCCACTGACGCAGGTGCAGGTGGTGCTCGAGTATGTAGTTCCTGGAGGACAGGGCATTTCAGTCCAAATACCATGGTCAAGTTTCTCATACTTCGCCGGATCCCCAGACGAACCCCTGATCGAGCCATCGCAGGCTGAAGGTACGTTATTTTGCACTGTGGAGGATGTGGTAGCTGCACATAATAAATAAGCAATAAAAAACCCCGATAAAATCATTTTCACAAAATGACAAAATTCTACAAAATGCAAAGTTCTTTGTTCGTTTTAAACATAAAAAAGTCAACCCCATAAAATAACCAGTCTCGAAACTGTTATAATCAATAACAGCAAAATAGCTGTGAATATAAAATGAATGGACCACTGAAAATCAGTGATAACATAGGGTGTTCGTGTAAAGGGTAAGCATTCCTGCTTTACCGTTAGCACCCGCCATTCACACAATTTGCATGAAAAGGTAAGTGTTTGTTTGTTGCCTAACGCCGGACAGCAGTACTCCTGCAATTACATTCATATAAAGTATTGAGTTTTATGTTCTGTAGCCTGATATTAGACCTGGAACATTTCCATGGATTCTTGTTTTCAACCTGCATTGGTTTCTGTTCGCATATAAATATTTTGGAGATACTTCTTATGCATTACGGAATAGACACTTCGTGAATGTAGTTAGATGCCAGCACTACTTACGGGAAGGCAACACTCAACACGGCAGTATGCAAAATAATGGGGATAAAATTTAACTAAGCACCTACACTTCCTGCGGTACATTGGACGTTAGCCGGCCAATCACAAACCAGGACTCCTTGGTTCCAGTAAAGACCAGGGGGGCAGGTCTTGTGGTGGGATGAAACGGTTGTCCCAGGTCGCACGCACTGGTAAAAACGGGCACAGTCCGTCTCGTCAGGCATGTATCCCACACCATTGTCATACCGACACCCATCGCATGGATCACCAACTGGAAAATATAGATAATATAATATATAGAACTTTACATGGTTGAATGAAACCAGATACTGATCTGATGCAAGGTGTCTGTTTCCGGTCATGTGGAGACTTCTCGGATCTTTAGAAAGAGGGGTTGTGTTTTTCAAAAAACGATTTAGTAATGTATAACAAAACAAATACCCAATATGATACTTTTTCAATAATTCAACTTCTTTAACAGACATATATGCAGGCGTATTTCTATTTTCAATGCTGATATTTGTATCCAACTAAGTTGTAAAGTGAACTTAAACGTATACACATCTAAATCAGTGTTTTGTATATTTATTGGTTCACACCTGGACATGTACTGTTACAAGTCTCTGTATCATCTTCTCTGTCTGATCCCACACAGTCCGCTCCGCCGTTGCTTGGAGCAGGGTTGGTGCAGGTCCTGGTCCTGGTGATGGCTCTAGAGCCTTCTCCACAGGGTACAGAACATGCACCGGTTGTAACCGCCCACTCAGTCCAGTTTCCGTCAACTATAGGCGAAGCATTTACAAATTGATTTATATTTAGTATGAGCGAATTGGGGTATTTCAATAGATATATGGCAACCCTATTCCGTTACTTCTGAATATATTTATTGATCACTTTGTAAAGAGTACATCTGTACAGCATTTGAATTTGATTAGGTCTATGCTTTTTATATTAGTTTCATACCAGGATATCCAACAGTGTTGCAATTTTCTAAATAATCTCCGGTTGCGGATCCCACACAGTCCGCTCCGCCGTTGCTGGGAGCAGGGTTGGTGCAGGTCCTGGTCCTGGATATGGTTCTAGATCCTCCTCCACATGACGCTGAACAATTTCCGGTTGTAACCGTCCACTCAGTCCAGTTTCCATCAACTGTAACCAACAATAGAATAGACTTTCACTTTCTATATAGGAGTTTTTTTACCTTCGTAGAATGGGGGCCAAATTTATGAACTTGGGACATGATATTTGTATCTGCTCTCCCGTAGGATGTGTAAAAAAATCGAATGGTATCTGTGGCCTCGTTGGCACATTGGGATCCATATGCTGGTAAAATGATAATTACCCTCCGGTAATGTACTTTATTGTACACAGTGGTTATGTCATAATTACATGAACAATACACACGTCGCTTTGTTAGGAAGAATTACTGCAGTAAGTCGTTGACTGTGTCTACAACACAACATCAGCATAGCCGACACGATCACCGAGAGAGATTTTCAAAATGGCACTGACCGGGATACATTGTTAAATCCTCCGATCAAGTGATTATAAAAATAGGCCGAATAGACGCGGAAGTAATTTAAAAATCAGCATTAACGCTGTCAATCTACAAACAGCAGTTATTCAACGTGTTCGCGAAAAGGGTAAACCCAAAATATTCAAATCTTAGACATTTACCACTTTGAGGAACAAGGTGATGACAAAACATTATCAGGTCGAATCTCTTCATTTCATTAGAATCATGTATCACATGAAGTACGGTTAGAAGGATGAATGGATGGAGAAGTGATAGGCAGATGACATACTAATTATGGACAGATAACTTAGTAACTGTTAATACTTACTAGGAGTTATTTGGCCAGTAGTCACGGTTACACCGACCACAAAGGCAAACAGCGCAAACAAGTTCATTCTCCTTGGCCCCTTGATGAAATACTAAACGAAAAGATATTTTCATCTTTATCTTTCTCTTAGCTTAAGTTGATTTGAAACAAATACATGTAACATTACAAATTTTCGTGTCTAATGATTAATATTGAAGATATATAATACTAGTATATACTATTTCAAAAACGGTGAGGGTAATCCGATTCTTTCATACTACTCTAGTTTGTCTGTGACAGATACACTACAGTAATAGAAAAGAAACGGATGATCTTGACCTTAACATTAGTATATCAGAATTCACCATAAAACCTATGTCAAAGCAAATTGACGAAACACGTTACTGTGAATCCAGTACGAGTGTGAATATGAATTGTTACAATTTAAGTGTTCTTCGTGTAAACTATAAACCAATTACTTAACAGAATATGAAATCCTTCAAATTTATGATAGATATAGGTGTATTTGTTAAATAACCTTACCCTATAAAAATAGTTCAGTTAATGTTACAGTTAGGGAGCGGTAACCAAGTTATAGCTGTCGTAGACGTTCAACCTGATACATGTACGTCTTGAATTGAAAATACAAGTCCGTCCGCGAGTCCATAACGTTTTATGGTGAACTCTTCTCTACAAGTGCTTAGTGTTCAACTCCCAGTTCCAAAAACGTTGTACCTCATCAGGTCAGCTGGTCGATATAGAAAAAAAGAGTGACTGATAAGTTGAGTGATTTATTGAGAGAAGAAACGACGAAGCTCCGCCACGATTTCGAGTCGAAGTTGGCAGATTTGAGCGAGAAAATAGTAAGTGTTGAACAGACAAATTTCAGAGAAATAGACTCAGTTAAAAGCGATTTGAACGACATGATGTCAAACGTTGGTGATATGGAGAGACAGTTCGCTGATGTTGTTGCGGGCAAGAAGGACAATGATATTGCATGTAGTGCTGTGATGAGAAATCTTCCCTGCTCTAAGGACGAAACAAATGACCCACTAGAGACATGTCGTATGGTCAACAAAGTCATCTGCGACGGGCTGAAACTGCATGATGTCCGTGCAGTACGTGCAGTACGGAAGAAAAGGAGCGACGCCAAACCGGGTGTTGTGTTTTCGTTGGAAACCGCCGAACAGAGGAGCAAGCTGTTAAAGCAGAAGAGACAGTTGAAGAATAGTAGAACTTTTTCAAAGGTTTATATTGATGCCGCCTTGTCACACGAAGAACTCGTTGCCTGGGCCAACATTCTGACTCTGATTAAAGAGATCGGCAAAGACAACACACTTCGATTCCAAGGGAAGAGATTCATCGCCTTACGAAAAGCCTAGGATCATGTGTGGCTAGGACTCTGGAACGCGGATGGATGGACGCAGAAGGATTCCAGTAGCCGTCAATTCAGGGATTGTGTAGTCAAAGGTTTCGACCGTGATGTATTCGTGGTATGCGAAACCTTTCTTCAAAAGGACGAAATTTTATTTTTAGACGGGTTTACGTGGCACGGTAACAACAGGAAAAATATTCATAGCAGAGCAAAAGGGGCTCCGGCGGAGTCGTCGCATTCTTTAAGAACTCCTTTCTTTAAACTTTTGACGTGAGTGTTTTAGATAATGAACATGAAGACATAATATGGTTTAAACTTAATTCCAATGCGGATTCAGATTTTAGTCTAATTATATGTGTTTGTTTTTTGTCCCCGGAAAGCTCATCTCGAGCTAATGATGCTGAACACTTCTTTGAAACCCTGCTTGAGTTTTACCTCTATCAAAATGAAGGACTGGTATGTTTATGCGGTGATTTCAACTCGAGAGTGGGCGACAAGTGTGATTTCATAGAAGGTGTGGATAATGTGGCTGATAGGGAGGTAATAGATCTTAAAAACAACAGATACGGCGATTTATTCATTAACTTTTTAAACGAGTGTAATCTCTGTATGCTGAATGGACGCATAGGTAAACATGATTATACATACATAAAAAACGGATCTTTCGTGGTTGATTATGTTGTCTCAACTCATGAACATCTTAGCTTTTTCAGAGATTTCGCCGTCACGCGGTCATCGTCGTTAGTTACAGGAGGTAACGTGCCGGATACTTTACCTGACCACTCAATACTTACATGTACCTGGAACGTGACTGACCTACTACCTCTGTGTCTGCAGATGTACACGTATGGGCAGAAGCCAGCTCCGTCCATGTCTCACAAACGATACGACGCTGGTAAGATAACCAACTCGTTTTTATCCCTAGACGATGTCATTGGTAAAGTAACAGCCGTCGTTCATAAAATTGAGAGAGAATTGACTGTTTCAAATAACGTTGACGCTGCGTATGACGAGTTTGTTAGTTTTATGCATCATGAGTTAGATAGCGTGTGTTTAACACGACAGTCAGTAAGTAGAAACCTGAATGCTGAATCTAAATACAAACCTTACTGGTGTGATGAGCTTCAGGAGAAATGGGACGATCTGTGCACGGCAGAACGTATTTGGCTGCGGGATAGGTCCATGGTTAACGATAGGAAACTAAAAGAGATTTACCTGACAAAATGGAAATTCTTTGATAGACTTTTGAGAAAACATAAACGCATCTACCAACTTCGTGAACAGCAGCGGATGCTCGATAGATTTAAAGGCGAGGATTCTCCATCATTTTGGAAGGCTATAAGGTAAGATTGGCATGAGTAACGATAGGCATTCCAGAGTCCCCTGGGAGGTGTTAAAGATGACAAGTTGTGTACTTACAAAAATGTTGTTCTTGACAAATGGCAATCCGATTACAGTTCTCTTTTTGTAGAGGAGGACTTGCCACAATTTGACCAGCCCCACTTTGAAAATGTTATCGACGATTTAAACAACCGTAACGCGAGAGACAATCCCGTGTATGACACTACTGACCGATAACGCGTCAAGAGATTGAAGCCGCAGTCGCACGTGCTAAACGTGGCAAGTCGGTCGGTCCCGACCCTATACCCGCTGAATCTCTTAAGAATAAACACTGTATTGACATTCTTTTTAAGTTGATTTCTTATTGTTTTAATAACAACGCCTGTCCCGCTGCTTGGCGGTCAAGCGCTATAAATCCGATTAAGAAACTAAATATGGATCACCGTGACCCACTTGGATACAGGGGAATCTCATTGCTATCAGTACCGTGTAAGATATACGCCGATATTCTGAACTGTCGACTTAGTCATTGGTTAGAAGAAAATGATGTATTAGCTGATGAACAAAACGGTTTTCGAAAAAACCGCGGGACTCAGGAGCACATATTTAGTCTTTACTCGATTATCGATAACAGGAAGCTTTCCAAACAATCCAAACAAACACACACACACACGTGCATGCACGTGCAGTAATCTTGGACGCGACGTTAAACCCAATTTCACCTCACCTCACCTCATCAACAATCCACATTCTTCCAGTGCAGTGATCGTCCGGAAGATCTTTCTCTTGAACGTATACGACAACTGACGAGTGCTCGCCTGAACTGTGACCTTGTTACACCCCTTATGAGATGTTTGCCGGGATTGCCTAAAAGTCGGGCCGGGCCGGACCAGCGGATAATACTAAAAATGGATTGCAGAATAATATAATGAAACGTACAGATCTCGACAGATCTCAAATGTCCACAAACGCATAGTTTGTCTCATTTGAATCAAAACGCATCTTCAACAATGTAATAAATTTATAATTATGACTACATACCGTGAGTCCTCGTAGAAAAGTCAGTGTCTTGACTGTATGTTGTCTTTGATGAGAAGGCTTCTCACCGACCGTAGGGTGTAGGGGTGTGATGTCCTGGGCAGGAAATGACAGTGTTTTGATTACTCTTCTTTCATTAATTAACGTGTTAGACTTCCCTAATTAACCTTTACTAATTCATGTTAAACCAACACAGGATGTTTTCTGGAAGTCGATATTCGCGAATCTCATAGGGCTGACACGACACGTGTTAAATACTGTCCTGACACTTCTAAAGTTACTGAACATTCTTTACACCTTAAGACTAGTATTATATCTACCTTTATAGCTAAAATGGGTGGAATTATCTTTAAAACGCCCGCATGTTATCAGGAATGAGCGGGCCACTGTAACTTGATAATGCCCTTGACGACGGGCCATTATCAAGCCCGTTGTTAGGTGACGTCATAGGATAGGCATAGGTGACGTCACGTTCAATAGTGACGTCATCTGGTTTGTTCTATGACGTTTCCATACTTGTAAAAGTGGGTCAGTGACATTCGTGTTGATTGCAGTAAATGTTTCAAAACCGATATTGTTGTTTCTTTATTATTTGATAACAAATTCCATCCATTTTATCTATAATAACGGTAACGCTATTTTTCAGGGCATTATCATTTGCAGAAGCCCTGAAAAATAGCGTTACCCTTATAATATATCACTTTAGTGTCTCATGTTGCAGTATTTAAAGAAAACGCGGTGCTCAAAGGGAAGCCTATTTACCTCTACATTCTCAACGTCCTTTATTAGAAGTGATTGGTCTGTGCTCGGTCTGACTTGGCCCAGGCTGTCAAAATCAACTTCAAACTCACAGATGTATGATCAAGTGTGTTTACATCTATAGACTAGTATTATATCTACCTACATATCACTTTAAACTGTCACAGAACTCCGCATTTAAAGAAAACGGGTCCAATAAAGTCCATTCTCAAGACATGTGTTTGCCCCGAGTCGGCCCGGGCTGTCAACATCAACTTAAGCCTTATATATGTATCATGCCATGGATTCACATCTATAGATTAGTATTATATCGACCTATATACCACCTCATAGTGTCTCAGTTATTTAAAGAAAACAAGGTGCTCAATATGAAGCCCTTCTCAGTCTACATTATCAACATCCTCAACATAGTCCATCAGAAGTATTTGGCTTGTGTTGGGTTCGACTTGGCCCGGGCTGTCAAAATTAACTTTAAACACACAGATGTATCATCAAATGTGTTTACATCTATAGAATAGTATAATATCTACCCATATCCAAATTTATATTGTCTCAGATCGCGGTATTTAAAGAAAACAAGGTCCTCAAAGTGAAGCCCTTTTCCTTCTACAGTCTCAACATAGTCTCTATATGAAGTGTTCGGTCCAACTTGGCCCGGGCAGTCAAAATCAACATTAACCTCACGGATGTATCTTCAGATATGTTTACATCGATAGAGTAGTATAATATCTACCTATATACCACTTTATAATGTCACAGTACATCGCATTTAAAAAAACAACTGGTCCGTAAAAGTCAAGCACTGTTACTGTATTTTCTTTAGAAAAGCCATCAGAAGTGGTGGGTCCGACTTGGCCCGGCCTGTCAAAATCAACTTTAACCTCTAAGATGTAATATCAAATGTATTCACATCTATAAACTAGTATAATATCTACCCATATAACACTTTATAGTGTGTGAGATTGCGGTATTTAAAGAAAACTAGGTGCTCAAAGTGAAGCCCTTTTCCTTCTACATTCTCATCATAGTCTCTATATG